ACTACTGCCGCACGGTGTCCCTTTCTGTGCTAAGAAGAAAGGTAACCCGTGAAACATGGGCTGGCATGCCAGAGCCAGTTCGTGCAGGGCTCGACTGTAGAGGGCTGCCACCTACAGATCTCTTGAAAATGCATTAAGGCAATGCCGCGTGCCATGCCACACCTAATTTGAAGGGGTTGGGTGAAGGTGTGGCCCCATTTGCACCTCTAAATATATTTAGCGAAATCTAACTGTGCGCTTTAGTTCCTGCACAACTTCATATAAGCTGTTTTCTTGTTGCTCAATCTGATTATTATGCAGACAAAACTGTGATAGATATTAACTTAGCAATATTTCAGGTCACCAGATTCATCAAAGGTGAGGATGAAGATGGTGTATGCAAGCTCAAAGGACAGATTTAAGAGGGAATTGGATGGAATTCAAGTTGAATTGCAAGCAACTGATCCCAGTGAAATAAGCCTCGACATTGTAAAAGCTCCCCCGCTTCACTTCCCAGCCTCGTGCTTGGAAAAATCTTCGTATTTCAAGAATTGTATTGTTTCCATTGTTTTAGTTTCTTTTAATTAGCATAATGTAATACAACAAATTATTCTGTAATTTCCTATATTTGTGATGCTTTTTATTTCACGAGAGAACGCAACTAAAGAGGCAACCCATTCATTTATAGATTATGATAACGTATATAAACAATAAAAGAAGTTACAGGCATATGTTAAATCTATGAGTCATACTGACAACAACATAACCTTTTTTAAGGTTTCTATATTTGCTTATTTTGACTATCCCAGTATCGTTTCTCCCATGTCTCTACTTGCTTTACAGAATTATCTCTTCTCTCAAGAACGGAATGAAGAGATGCAGGATCATAGGGTGGAGGCATGGTGCACGGGCTCGAATAAGAGTTACCTTCAACCAGGGAGTCGGTCATGAATTTCTTCTCAACTCCTTGTGCGGGGCAAGCCATCGACTCTGAACAGAGTTCAACTGCTCTTCGAGGCACCCTAGGCTTGTATTTTAAGAGCTTGGAATACTCAGTCAAGAGATGGAGCATGTAATCGTACACATAATCCATCTTCAGATCTTCTAGAATGAAACTGCTTGCTGCCTTGCCAATGGCCTGAGCCTGATAATCAATTCAAGAAACTGGTAAAAGTTATAAAAGCAAATCAAACTATTATTTTTCCCTTCTCTCTCGCCATTGTGGGTGTACGTGTGTGCCTTTTCAAGTGATGTAGATTTCTGGACCCTGCTCAAGTATTTGTTACGTCTACACAGAAAAAGTTCAGGATGCTTAGCAGTTAATAAGATTTTGGTATGTAACCTTAAAAGTTGCTTACGTTTGCCAAACATGCTCATCCTTTCGTAGAAGTTACTTTTTCTTTTTGCAGAGATTTAAAAGAAACTTAACTTTTTCAAGAGCAAGTCTTTAGTTATATTCCAAGGAAATACTTCTTTTTAAGGCAAATTACAAAGACATCACCCTAATGTTTATGACAATTTTACAGACACTTCCTTCCTTATTAAAAATTATATGTCTCCTTTATTTCAATTTTGGAATAACGTATACCTCTTTTGATGCTTACGACAATTTCATTCCTCCATTTTCAAAAATTACATAAACCTGTCTTATTTCAAATTTTGAATAACGCATACCTCCCCTAAAATTTATAACAATTTTAGAGACACCGCTCTAGTTTTTAAAATTATACAAATATCCCTTATTTCAATTTTTAAATAATGCATACCTCAATTCACCATTTTACTTTCACATGTTAGCATAATTTATAGTGGCAATGCCTAAAATATCCTTACTAATATTCTTGCATCTTGTGGCTATGTAATCCCTAAAATACCTTTTAAATGAACATTACACAAGATACTTCGTTTTTTGTTATATTTTGTATAGGTGGTTGATTTATAGTCAAAATAAATTTCCATTATTTTGTTTTTATTATGATACTATTCTGATTATGCTTATTACTTTGCCTCATGTAAATATATTTTGAGTATCTCAAACTAGATTATTTGTTCGTGTTTTTTAAGAATCGATATTCTAAATAATATTTTGTTGATGATTTAGTTAGAATAGTTAAAAGAGAATTTTAAGTATTACATGACTGTTAAAGGAGCCACAAGATAGAAGAAAGATTGAAAGGGAATTTTAAGCATTACCACTATTATCTGTGCTAATATTTGAAAGAAAAGTTATCGATGGAGGTATGTGTTCCTCAAAACTTGAAATAAGATTTGTATAATTTTGAAAAATGGAGGTAGGTGTCTCTAAAATTATCATAAACCTTGGAGAGGGTATGCATTGTTCAAACTTCAAATAAGGGAGTTTTGTGTAAATTTTGAAAAGGGAGGGGGTGTATCTGAAATCGTCATAAACTCAGGGGAAGTATGCATTATTTCAAAGTTGAAATACGAAAGGTTGCTGTGAATTTTTCAAAGTGAGGGGTGTCGATGAAATTATCATAAACCTAAGGGGATGTCTCTATAATTTGCCCTCGTCTAAAACTTAGTTTCTTTCTTCTCCCTAATGCTACAAGACACAGATTACCTCTTTTGCATGGCTATTTCCCCAGTCGACTGCATATTTAATCGATTTACACTTGTCGTCCTCTTTTATCGGCCAGTAATGTTGCAACGGTATCAAACTTCTCGTGAAGAAATCGTAGTAATGAGGCGTCACAAGCAACGGAACAGAATCACATGACAGAATGTATTTCTCGCTCACGGACCATGCAGATCCTTCAATATAAATTTTGAATCTGTATGAAATGCAAAATGAATAACAAAATTACGTTATACTAACAACAATGAAGATATGTCCACGATGAAGATTCGAGTGAATCCAACCTATGAATGCATTGGCTTGCCAAGTCTGATTGCTTGTAACCTTGTTGTTGTTCTCGTATCCAGTCCTGCAAAAGATTCCGAAAGTTCATTAATTGAATAACTGCTTAGGTTTTACTACCTTTTAAGCAGTCAATGAACACTTAAAATCAAATATACTTTTCCACATGTAAGTTGAGCAATACTTTCAAAGGCCAATGTTACCATGGGAGAACGATTTCATTTCCCAGATTTGGATCTTGTATTCAACCATTTATAATGTTCTTAAGCATCACGTGAAATAAATTGTTACCTGAGCGTATACACGAGCACCCCAGTCGTATTTATCCGTAACGTTACACTTGAGCAAATCCATCCTCGTGGGAGCAACAATGGGATTCCCTTTCCAGTAAGCATGTGGTTCCCTGTCAATCCATCTAGTTCTCTCGGTACCTTCTTTAAGTTCTTTGGACAATGTGTCCCATGGTTTTATATTAATCTCGGGCCTAAATAGTGTACAAGAGATTGCATCAGCGTTCAGAGAATGTTTTCCTAAGCATAAAAAGTTTACTTATGAGTAAATTTAATTATAACTTACAGATATTATTTTTTATTGGTCAAAGTGGAAAAAAAAGTTACTTATTGAAAGGCTTACCATCCCCAGAACGACCAGTCCGGAAAAACAATGTCAAATGAAGAATCATTGCTGCAATATCGAAACAGCGGTGGGGGCGCGGGGAATTTGGGCATGCTGAAAGTTTCTTTCTTAATGACTGGCCAGTCGACACAATCAAACATTAGGTCCAAATCCGGCACTTTACCGGGATACCTTCGTAACAACTGTAAGATCCCCCAAAGTGTAAAGGTATCTCTACTTTGAAATGATTTTCTATACGTTTCAACATAAGCTGTTCCATTCACTATCACTAATCGGAAATTTGCTGTCCGTTTAGCACTCCTCACCATTTCTCTAGTGATACCTGTCTCCCTCCATGGCCATAAATCATCATAGATCCAACGGAAGTACTCTGGACATGTTGATGGTGGTGTCGTTGAAAGGTCTTTATTTTCGAAGGAAAACTTTGATGGGTAGTAATTGGCGGGGCAGGTCCGTGTGAGGTTACCGAGTGAACAGTTCAGTGAATAAGTAATGTACTTTCGAGGAATCCGGGGAATTTTCGGAGTTTCTAAAGTGTAGTTGTGTAAAGATATGGTTGTCAGTGTTGATTTTCGTGGTTCTGCTCCACTGATCAACTGCAAGTTAGAAACAAACCAAATGAATTAGACTAAGGAGTAGAAATTCTAGAATAATTAGAATTAGAAACCCCTAATTCTATGTCATCGAGAACAATTAAATCACAGAAAAAATACGAACACAAGAACACGCAAGATTTATAGACATTCGCTTCAATACGAGACTACATCTTCCACCACTGCTCTAATTTACTATGACGAAAAGAAAATTACAGTCTATATTGTCTAACCTCTTTCTCTTTTAAATGATAATACAAAACCCCACTGACGGGACAAAACCAAAATTTACAAATGTGAAATTCCCCCTGTTTGGGTTCCATTTTACCAAGAAAACGCATTTTTGAAATAGTAAAAAGTTGGAGAATGTGTGGTTGAAAAATAGGGAAAATTTTTGGGTTTGCATGTAAAATTATTTTATGGGAAAATATGTGGTTGAAAATGAGTGTTGGAAAAATGAATTTTGAGAATAATAGGGCTCAAACAGGGGCAAAGTATCGCTAATGAAATTATTGTCTGAGCACCGTGGCAAAATAATTAAGCTTCACAACTTAACAAATTCTATAACGAAGCCGAGAAGAATGTAGTAATTCTTTTTTTCTCTTTTCTTTTACCTATTTTACCCCTAACCACAAAAGACGTGCTAGAGTCAAGTAGATTTTTAGCTTTTAACAATAAATTGGACATACACCATCTTGTAGGGACTAATTTGAAAGGTGGCAACTCTTGTTACAACTTGCATATAGATCTAGGACCACTGGTTCAACTAATTAATTTCTTCTGTTCTTTGAACAGGAACAACATTAATTTCGGCCCTAGACTATAATAACCTAAAACGATTCCTAGTCAATTAGTCTGAAATAGGAAACAGGTACATGGACCACTGACGACGTCGTTAAGCTGTTGAACACCGCCGAACGATGTCGTAAATATCAAAGAAATATAAACAACAATTAAAAGATTCAGACAAGAATTATGAATTCAAAATGAATTATTAACAAGTAATTAAAATAATTCCAAGGAATTTGTAGGGTTTGAAGAGCGTCGGCGAGTGTGATAGATTTGCAGACTTACAGAAGAGCCAAGCAAGCGCGTGGAAATGAACGCCCCAATGGTGAGAACTACAAAGAAGAGAAGTATGGATGAAGATCTACCAAATGGCCGCCAAATCGCCTCCATAAATGCCTCTGATACTCACAGTAAAATGCCCAGCTGATGCGTATCTACAATATTCTTGGAAATATTAAATACTGAGGGTGGCTGTGGGTGAAGGGACTACAAAGTAAACTTCTCTGCAACTTCAGCTGTTTCTGGAAACGAAAATATGATTTTAACAACAAAGGGATCGTGATTCTCCTGCGTTTTACTTCTACTTTTTTTTGGAAAAAATCAAGAATACGAAGCTTCAGATTTGTTTGTTGAGAAACATAGTGGGGCGGATTTGGTGAACTAAGTGGAAGGAAGAAAGAGGTGACACGAGGAGAAGACAGACAGAGGGGTGATTTGACTTGTTGGACTGTATTCACATGGTGGTGTACTGATATCAACAATACTTCCTTCGCTGTTCAAAATAACATCAACGGATCAAAGACTTTCACCTTTACCAACCAATATGTTACATATATGTAGTACTGTTGCAAGGAGGAGAGATTGAAGGGGAAACTGCCCAGTGGCATTAGGTTTTGTCTAATTTTAGTGAGAGAGAGGGACTCAATTATAGAAAGTAAAATTTGTATTGTTATGAATTATTTTGCCAACTATCACTTGTACGCTTCCATGACATGAAACCCAATTACGAAATAAATTATATTCAATTAATATAAATAATTTAATATTTATTGCAACGTATATATTCCATCGTATTAATTCTAAATTAATTATCATCCACGATAATTCATGTATCATATTTGCTTTATCCATTTCAATAATATTTCATGAATTATTTTGCAGGTCCATTAGTTATCATTAATGTACATTTGATTGATCTATTTCATCTGTGTGCTCTCACCACATGAAACCCAATTACGAAAACTAATGCTACTTGCAGTCGCTCACTGCAACAGTCGTCCTATGTGACATCCACATGGCATGTAGTTATTTGATGAATTAATGTGGTAATTTTTT